CTATCACAAACTGAACATCAGAAATTAACTTTGAGATCAAACGACCTTGTTAAAATATTTATTTCAAACTGTTTATGTTATTTACAAAGTTAATACCCATAGGGTAATGTTTTATAATCATCAATAATTACACGTTTGTTATATACAATACGGTAGTCCTTTTTCATTCTTTTTGTTTCAATGTTTTTTGTCTTTGTGTCCCGAGTTATCCTGAACGGGATATCAACGGTTACTTGTCCCTTGACATTACATTTTGCATAGAGAAACACCAATGAGCGAATGACGTCAAAGTTCACTTTTTGTTTTGCAGTGCAGTTCAATGTGATTCCGCGTATCTTCGTTTCTACTTTGTTGCAACTGGTCCGATAACAGTAATTTTTAGGTCCTACCGATATGAAGGTTGTAATATGCCCTTCTTTTAATTCATCCGTGAGTTGACCGAGATAAGGACCCAACGGGGGCTCTGATTCACCTGGTTTGCTGACAAATATCACCGAATCCGTATCATAGTACAACACTCTTTCATTCAGTTGATCCAGCACATCGTACAATTTGAGTCGGGCATAGGCGGTGGTAAAAGCAGCGATGACCACATTCGTTTTGGAATTTGACGCTATGAAATTTTCGTTGTTTTCGTAGTGGATCTCGATCACTTCTTCACTCACGAAATTTGCGTCGAGCACGTTGATTTCGTCGGACGTCAGATAGTCGAAGTACTTTTGAACGTCACTGATCAGTTCCACTTTGGTCATGTTCGGTCGTTGCGCAAATTTACCTAAAAAAGATATGAAATATATTAAGTGCCATGTGCAAACGTTGCGCCTAGTGTTATCGTAGAGTGGTTAAAACTTACCCCAAAATGAGTTCAGCATCAGCTCTGCCAAGGCACGCAACCCAGGATTATACTCAATCTTGGCTGGAACCAACTGGATTCCTTCTCGTTCCGAGTACTCTTCTACGCACTGCTGTTTTTCTCTTCCGTAGTGCAGTCCTTTGGGTAACCACTGGCCTCTTGTTTGATTTTAAGGAATGTATTCACGTAGTCTTTGAACAATTCATCCGATTGTTGAGGGAAATGCCATACATCGTGGAGATGCAGAACTTGGTAGCCTTTCTCCAATGCTTTCTCCAACTCTACGCTACACCACGTTCCTTGAATGGCTCTCTCGTTGTCGGAATGGGTACATGGGGTCTGATTACACGTATCGGCACACAACTTGCAGAGGGGGAACATCAACTTGCCCTGAGTTCGATAAGGTAAGCTGGATGGAAAAGACCACGAGAGGGTAGAACAGTACACTTGATCATGCCAAAATAGGTCGAAATGTCATCAAAATTTTCTGTGATGATGCGGGGATGGCCAACAACTGTCCGCGTCATTTTGTTGCACCATGGGTAAAGACTCGTAAAATCCACATACCTAAGTGAAGAAATGACGTCATCAATATATTTGCTCTGACGTCATAATCGTTCCTATCATTTTTGTTACATCTTACCTTATTTTCTCACCATCTTTACACTCATGGAACAGCTTTGCGGCGTTGGTACGCCCACCAAAGAAGCCATCACGCGGTTCCAAAGGTTCGATCAAATCATAGCTATCGAAGTAAGCCTTCATCTCTTTATCTTGATCTAGTTCTTTCTTAATATCGCATTCCCAAACTTCAATCACCACAAAACCATGATCTTTCAGGTAACTGTTCTTCTCCACTGTAGTTTGATGAAGATCTTGCATCGTCTTACCATTGACTGAATTTATTGTGTCGCGAGCATAGCATTTCAAACACCCTGTAAAAAAATAAATAAATAAATAAACAATACTATTTCTGCTTGTAGTGTTTATACTAGGAACCCATTCTTTCAAGTTAACTTACCGTGCCAGAAGCACCCATTGATTTCGTAGGCCGTGTTGGACTCTTCGTGATAGCCGTCCAGTAGGTAATTGCCAACACGTTTCTCTCCTGCATTACGTGCATGCTGAATGTGGATGTCTTCTTTTTCAGCTTTATACGAAAGCCATTTCAAAGCCAATAGGGATTGCTTGTCTTTGGGACGATAACCGTGAGGGGGAATGATGGCTATGGTGTTTTCTTGGAGGAAATTTGTTCGGAACACAAGGTTACAAGCCCATGCAATAGTTAAGCATTTCTCAAACGGGTCGATACCTGTAATATCACGAAACATTTCGCGAAATTCAAGGCAACAGCGGCGAAGGATATCCACATCAGACCGACAATAACCTAGAATTTCTTGCTGGAAATCAAACACGTAATTCTCCTCTTTCAACTTCTTATGCCATGCCATGAACTGTTCCTTCTCTTCAGGACTCATTCCATCAGGATTGTAAAATGGACTCGGGGGTAGGGGTCCAACATAATTCTCGTTCTCCTTTCTGTTGAACAAATGAGGGAAGTATCCTTTTGCAAGTTCGTCCAGTCCAAAGGTTGTGGGGAAGTCAGCCAGTCTCATAGGTATGAAGCTTAACGAGTCAATGAATTTAATGTTAAACATTGGCACCGATACCGTAAGGACCTTTGCACCTCTCATAATCACTTCGGGAATTACACCGTTCTCATGTAAATACTGGAGAATGAAGTAGCTGTCATAACCTTGGAAGCTGTGTGCCAAAACGATACACCCTGCATGTTCCTTTGTGAACAACCATTCACAAAAGTCATTACGCGTATTGTCCCCATCAAACACCCACTCGTCACCGGCCTCGTTTTGAATCACGCACAAATTGGGTTCGTGATTACCATTCTCCTGGCGACACTCGAAATCAAAAAACAGTAACTGGTTATAACCACTTTTAGGGGAATCGTTTTCATCGGCTTCGGTGTCGAGAAGGTCAGTGTCCTCGCTGACAGTTGCGTTTCTCTCTTTCACAGGTTGCATAGACTTTGCATTTCCTACAGTTTGTTTATGTCGATCGAAACATTCTTGACTTTTAAAATTTCGCTTACAATCCGCGCAAGGCAGCCACGAAACAATTGGACAATTTTGAAAATAACATAATTTACACGAGTTAGGGCATGAATGATCAATAACTTTATCATACCCCTTTTTACAGGTATGACAATAGCGTTTTCTGGCAAAAAAAGGCCGGCATACTCGTAATCACATCATAGTGATTGTCATGCAAAAATAAATAAATTATTTTGTCTTTGTCAGGACCGGAAAAAATAATTGAATTTTGCTGCTCTTTTGAAACGATATTAATTTGATAATCCGATAAATACGTTTGAAAAAGTTTGACTTCGCCTAAACCGCAAGAACCTATTTCCACCCCGGCTTTTTGGTGCAAATCATAAGCTAATCGTTTTTGTAATGGTCTACGGGAATCCTTTATAGAAATATACTGGCTATCGTTTTCAATTTTGGCCTTGGCAACAACTAAAGCACGAGCTAAACAAATGTCGTCCTTGTTTTGGATCCGAATAATTGAATTCTTTTTCATCAAATGTTTTTCCAAACTAATTTCGCAACGTTTTGTAACAGTACCGCCATTGGGCATTTGAACATGGATTAAATTGACATGGACAGAATCGTTTAATCGAAATCCATGATTAGATTGTATAACACGTCAACTTCAGCCAAAACCCGTTCAGTGGTTAGCCTTTCCCGGGGCATAAATGGTAATGAAATGGGGGTTTCTAGTTGAGGCGAACGCAACACAAAGCGGACTTGATCGTGTAGGGGAACACCTTCGGTCACAGTTTCAAGCAAACTTTCAAAGATTTCATGAAGGCGAGTATGGTATTCCGATAGTTCCAAATTAGCAAAAGTATTCGCGAATTGAACGGTATAATCACTACCAACAGTGTTAAACTTTTTTACCTTCACTTGTTTAAGGTTTGTAACAGTAAAAAAGTTATCTCTAACCAGGTCCAGCGTCGTCATTCACCTCCTCGTGGGCTCTTTTCTCTCCTCTGCCCATCTGAAAAAGCCCAGTATCGTCATCCCAATCGTGCTCGAACTGTGCCCTCTGCTCACTCGTCCACATTGACATCATATTCTCAAGTACGGTGCCACTACCAAAGGTTATCGACCGTAACGGCTCGTCATCTTTCCACATATCGAGAAAACGCTGTCGTTCTGTCGGTGTCCAACTGTCCCCAATGGATTCAATCAAGCCCATGGCCCTATGCTCCCGGCCCCATTCAAGAACTCGCTGTACAAGTTCCATTCTTCGTTCGAAGATTTGCTGATATTCCAAAAAGGTCATATCAGACCCCAGTTCTGATTCCAACTCTCCAAGCTGGGCCAACGTTTCGCAGTTTTCGATTCGGCTATCCATGTTAACTTCAACACAATCTTGTTCACTTAGCAGTACTATAGCTTGAAATGCACTATGACTGAAACTGCGAATAGCCGCTCTTTCGCATTACGTAAGCATTTAACCTTGACAGACACCCCAGATAGCGAACGTTCATGTTCGCCCACGCATTCATACTCTCCGTTAACAACTAGTTTGTACTACGTAAACATACTCTAAAACACTGAACGTTCAGGCTCACCCACGAACTCATACCTATGGTAATAGGCGTATGTTTTAGCATTGTTAATCTCAACATAGTTTGACATAAAAGATTTGCACATAATAAATATTATGGCTCATCTCAACTCGCTAATTATCTGTTAATAGCTGTACAAAATAAATCAAATCCCATGTATTTCACAGAGAAGTTAGCTAAAATAGAACTTAAGCAATGAAAAACGATAAATGTATGTTTATTAAATGGGGAAAATCATGTTCAGCAAAATGTGTGTGTGTGTGTATGTGTGTGTGTTGCGTGCGCATGGGATGTTTGACTTAAAACATTTGCATATAATACACATAATGACGCATCTCAATTCGCTAATTCAATATCTGTTATCTGTACAAAATAAATCAAATCTCATTTAGTTTACAGAGAAGTAAGCTAAATGCAACGATATCACCCTTAAAGGGTTTGTAACCTTAGTATTGCCAACGGCTGACAAAATGTGCGTGTGTGTGCATGGGATGTTTGAAAAAATTGCATATAATAAATATAATGGCTCGTTCCAATTCACTATCTCAAATAGAAGAGAAAAAAATCTCATGTATTTCACAGAGAAGTAAGCTAAATGCGACGATATCACCCTTAAAGGTTTGCAACCTTAGTACTGCCAACGGTTAACAAAATGTGCGTGCATGGGATGTTTGACTTAAAAACATTTGCATATAATACATATAATAGCTCATTTCAATTCACTATCTCAAATAGAAGAGAAAAAAAAATTCGTGTATTTCACAGAGAAGTAAGCTAAATGCGACGATATCACCCTTAAAGGTTTGCAACCTTAGTACTGCCAACGGTTAACAAAATGTGCGTGTGTGTGCATGGGATGTTTGACTTAAACCATTTGCATATAATAAATCTAATGGCTCATTTCAACTCGCTAATTAGTATAATTAAATATCTCAAATAGAAGAGAAAAAAAAAAAAATCTCATGTATTTCACAGAGAAGTAAACTAAATAAAACGTTATCGAATGGGGAGAAATCATTTTCGGCAAAGAGTATACTATACTTGATCTTTTCACACGTTAGACTGATACTGACTCTTAGCGAGGAAGTCCTCGCTAAGAGTCAGTATCAGTCTACTACTACTGGTCACGACATCTTCGTTTGTTGCCCAGGAGCAAAGTCTAACAACAAACGTTTACTGTATCGATAACGTTCGTGTCTTTTTTACTTATTACTATTATTATAAATGTTTAGGCTATTTCATTGATCTAATGCATACTATGAAAAGGATAAATCGAGTGTGTGTTCATCGAGTGGGGAGTATTGATTTTCAGAAAAGTGTACACTATACTGTTCACATTTTAGGGGTATTGACTCTTAGCGAAACTTGATCGACGCATACTATAAATATATGAAAAGTGAAATCGAGTGTTTCGTTTAATTCTTATAGTATATTTGGTGCCTCTTAAAAGAGCCGTTTTTTGTGTATCTTGTACGTATCCCTTACTCTAAAAGAGACGTATCAAAATCCAACACATATTGTGCGGCTAATGATTCTTCTTCTTGACGGTTTTGCTCACTCGATTTCTTGGCGCGTTTTGCCTGAAACTCCAGAAACAGCCCCCGATCCCGCTCTGCGACAAATGCCATGAAGTTTTCAAGGATAGCTTTATCTTTTTTCTTTCGTCTCCTATATTCACGCATACGTAAGGCATCCTTTTCTGCTTTCACCTCCATTATGAACAAGCACGAAATGTGCAATTGCATGATGTATATTAAATACATTTAGAACACATGTGCAATACAATTACGTAATGCTTACAAACCGGATACATACAATTGAACGTTCATACTTCATAATTTATGCGGGAATAGCTGAACGTTCATACATCATAATTTATGCGAGTATTTCCGGTGATGTCATTGATATAACGTCATTGGCGGCATCCCTTTGGACGCTGGATGGGGGGGGGGTCACCTACTATGGACGTCGTAAACGCCAAAGTTGATCGTGTTTATGACGTCGAATATCGACGTCATAAACACCAAAGTTGATCGTGTGAGTAGTATAGGAACTGCCGAAGCGAGACCACTAGTTTCGGAGCGAGACCACTAATTTTTGCCTTCGGCAAAAATTAATGGTCCCGCTCCTCAACGAGTGTTCTCGACTTCAGCAGTTCCACTGTCCATTTATTTTGGAATGTGAAACTGCTATTCTGAGGTCTGTCCGAAATGTTTTTCAGTTAACTTATCTCAGAGCTTCGGGATCACCTTATCAGTCCAGCTGAGACTTCAGTATGATTATCCTAGGTGCAATCCTACACTTATCCAATATCGTCCAATTTTCCTATTCTGGAGCCTCTTCGACATCTTTTATTTTCTCCTTGGGGGTACATAAGGCAGGGGGCCCTTGCAGTCCGGATACACTGTTGGCATCATCCTTTTCACCCTGTGTGCTCACTTCAACCTTAATATCATTGGATGCAGAGAAATTTATATCACCAACCTTCCCATATTTATTAGACCTTTTACGACATCCACAGATTTTACCCATACATGAGAAGCATGAAACTCCACTCTGACATGATACTTTATGATACAACACATGTTATCCACCGCTTGACTCTGAATATAACAGTGACAAACAAAAAGACAAGTCCATACTCATACCAGTAGGCATTGAGTGTTCTGGTTTAACGATGACACACCAAGCTAGCGTGTTATCTACCAACTCAGCTTGGTTTCCCAGGTAGTACTCACTATTGCCCTTAAAGACGTAGCAAGCTGTACTTCCACCATTACTTGTGTAAGTTCCGTTGAAGTAAGTGTGTGATAGCCTACTCAAGTCGATGTGCTAAGAACGATTTCCTTTTTAGCTTGTGTAAATTTTCCATTAGACTGCTTTTTCCATACGGAGGCCCACAGGATGAGTCCTAGGGGTACGTTAGTAACGACTGAAAGAAGTGGAGAATCTGATTTAATAGTAATTGACTCAAGGTTGAGGTTCGTTAGATTGTTAATAGTTTCTGTTCTCCATGAAGGTGGAGTCTGATCTTGACAGTAAGCATAGTACCTTGTTGCTGCAACTGATACTCCGCGATATCCCCAGATCCACTGTGAATAAATATGGTGAATTTTCCTTACATATCTGTTATCAGCTGTTACTTGGACAAGACCTGAGGAAGATCCCAGGAAATTATTTTCCACCCATTGCTTGTTAACTGCATCCTTATCATTCACGGGATCCCCTAGATCAAGAATACTACTCGAATCTCCCATATCCAGATCTCCCTTTACCAATCCACCTCTACTACTCATGAACTCATCAGTTGCCCATTTCTTATTAACAGCAGAACCGTCAGTTGTTGGGTCAGCTACCTTGGTTAACTCAAAATTATTCACA